CTGAAGGATTAGGTTAGTTTATTAAACAAAATTTAAAACTAAATATTTTTCAAAACTCCAATAAGTAAAGATATTCTGAAAAAAAAGTCATTAATCCTTTAGTAAAAAACAAAAAAAATGCATATGACTATTGGTAATAGAAAAGTAACAAAAATATTAAAAATAACTTTGACTTATTTCTATTTGCCTGTTTCCGAAAATGGTTTATCTCAAATGATTGATTTCTAATAGTGTTTGCAGTAGAAGTAAAGTTTTGCAAAATGTGAAAGGTTCAAATGACCTGCAAAATAATATTTTGTTGTGAAGAGTCAGAAAATGGTTCTTAATGGGTCAAGCCAATTGGCTGTTGTTTCTGTTAATAAAAGTGAAGTTGAATGTCCAGTTTTGTTTCAGTATAGATAACATACATTTGCCACTTGTGTTTATTTCAAAACTCAATTATGAAATCTTTTTCTTACAGGAATTTATCTGCTATTCAAGATAGAGAAATCTGTTGTTATTCCATATCGTGTAAAGAGAAAGAAAACATAGGTAAGCACAAAAACACTCGTGGGTGTAATTTTTTTTTTTTCTTTCTTTTTGAATAAACAAAAAGCTAATTTTTGCTCTCTTCTCAACATTTCTATCATTTGGGTATCATAGATTTTTGTAAAACTGACTGCTGTAGAAAGTTTTTCTTGGTTGACTATAATTTACCAACCTTGTACTAGATAGTACTTCAGAAGTATGATTTCTATTTTTTAAATTTAGTAATTAACTATATAAAATAATTTTTGAGTTTTTATCCTGTGTCGTCCTTAATCTTTTCTTGTCCAATTCATAGAACAAGAATCTCACTTGATTTCAAATTTATCATATAGCCAATCTTGGATGACGTTTGTATTAATTTGAAGTCACCAACATATCTTACACAGAAACAATTTGCACCATAGAATTATCATTATATTTTCTTTCTTTTTTTTTCTCTCATACTGACACAGAAATAGGCATTCTGCTACAAAAAAAAAACTTATTTATGAACTTAACTGCATTTTATCTTGATACCATCATCAACGTTGAAGGAATTTATATTTTTACTTAACCAAGACATTACTCCAACCTATCCATTTTCTATTGAATAAGAGCTGAACATGCCTAAAAGTACTTAATATCTAATGATACCCAAATGACCTTCATTTGTGGTTTAAAAAAAAAAAAAAAAATTCTCCATATTTAAGGTCAATACTATAAACTATGTAAGGCAAAAATTGAACCTGGCCTGAGTATCCTTCAACTCAGTTGAAACAATAGTAGCTTTGGTTTTATTTCTTATTCTGTATTTTTCTTATATACACTCACACATACATATATATATATATATATATATTCCATGGATTATAATTTATTACATTGGAATCGTAATCACAATCCAATTCATCAGACCTACAAATTCAAAAAGAAATTGGAAAATATAACTACAGGTATAAAAAAAAAAATTTTAGTGAGAGTGTATGTGCGAGAATGGGGAAACGAGTGTTACGGAAATGTATGAAAGCTCTAGAGAGAGGTGTAACAGAAGAAAGAACAAGAAGGCCTAAAGGTGAAGGTGGGGATTAGTGCAATAGGAATACCATCCCACATAATGGTAAAACCATGTCTAGATGAAGACACCATTGTCACTAATGTCTTACCATTGTGTTGGTGGTATTTCTGCTGTACCCTGTATATATTACAATAGGCTAAAATCTTAAGTTACATAAAACAATCTAACACCACCAAATATTTTTTTGTAAATATTTATATAAAAAAAAATGCCATCAATAACATTGTTTATTATATAAATATATTTTGAACGCTTAACATAATCTGGTTAATACTAATTTTATTGAAACCTTGACTTGCAAAATAAATTAGGCCTACTACTGGTGACTTGTGACCCCATACAACCTGCTGCTAAGAATGAAAAACAAGACCCGTCAAAGGGGAGATAGGCTTCTTATAGGAGCCAACCACCAACAAACATTCAATATATATATATATATATATAAAAATAAGAAACATTGTGTCTGTATGTTTGTACAACAACCAAGTGCACCTCTTTTTGTGAAGAAAAATTGGTAGACAAGTAAACCCCAAATTTTAATAAAATCCACACCTTGTTTTTATCTGAGAGGGGGTTAAATAAAAACGTTTTAGTCTTCATTTTCCATAAGAAAAGCTAAATGTGAGCACAAAATAATAACTCCCTTTCAAATTCGAGTGAGAGTTGAAAAAAGACAAAAAGAAACTTGCAAGTCTGTGTGAAATTTTCTTTGGACCAATGAAAACATTGTTTTTACAGGAATTGTCCATTGAGCCTAGGTAAAGAAAGAAAAGAAAATAGCAATCCTATGAAAAATCCTTTTTGATATAAGCAGAAAAATCAATATGTGAAGAGTGTATGTCATGTGAAAAGTTTCATTTCTGTTCATGCATCCAGCATTCAGATTTTCACCAGTGTCAAATTACTCATTGACTATATTATCAACCTTAACGAACCGCTTGGCATTTCAAAGAACTTTATTTCAACTATCCAAGAAAGCTAAGTATTCCTTAGCATTATCATCCATCATTAATCTTCTTGGAGCAGGTAAACCAATTGTTCATTTTAATCCTAAATTCCCATGCCACTATAAAACAGTATGAAACAAGACTTTTTCAGTAACTCAAAAGAAAGTAAATGCAAGAGGTTTTCCAAGGAGAGCTATGAAGGATACTGAAATACAGAGAAACCTATTTGCAGCCTGAAAGTGCACAAAATTCTTTACAATGCGCAGTTGAAAGGTCAGAACAAAGGCAAGATAGCTTGTTTTCTACAATATATGTCAAAAGCTTTAAAGCTCTTCCTCACAACTTTAATGTGATCATTAATACAGACAAACGACCTATTGGACAATATCCGGGACAGTTTAACAAACTCTCCTGCGATGAAATAGCTGTAGTTCTCCAATGGTGACCAACATAACAAGAGAGACAATGTTCTAAAGAGACGGGGACAACAAGTTTCAACAAATTAATGAAACGCATCTTATGATGCTCTCCAGTATCCTCTGCTATTTCTTAATGAGGAAGACGGCTGCCATTTTGGTATTAAACATCATAATCCAAGCAATCTGGGGAATATGTTAAACAAAGAAGTATCATGTAAGGAATTCTATGCACACAGTTTTATGATGCATGGCATCTCATTCAATCAGCTTCATCACTCTTTCACCAATATGCAATTGATATGGCTGCTAAAATGGAGTCTGAGGCTGTGTTTCATTGGAAACAATCAAAAGCAACTGCGATCGGAGAATTATATTCATCTGAGAAATGCCATAAACAATGATGAAGCACCTGGTAATCTTGGACAGCTCTGCATTCTATCATCAAGCTTTCCAAGAGGGCTTTCATACATGCATGAAAGGACACAGGATGCCATAGCCTGTGGTAGGCCAGATCTCTTTGTAACCTTTACATGCTACCCAAAGTGGAAGGATAAACATTTCTGTATCAAAAGGCCAAAGATAGACCTCACCTCCTTGCCAGAGTCTTTTGTCGGAAGTTGGAGAAGCTCATGGATCTAATTAAGAAGGGGGGAAAAAAATTGGGTCCATAAAGTGTGACATGTACACAACTGAGTGGCAAAAATGTGGGGGGTGGGGCTACAACGTGCTTGCATTCTGCTTTGTCAGGCAACAAAAATTCACTCTAATGAAATTGACAAGAGTTTACAAATCCATCAACAGACGAGGAGCTCTATGAAATTGTTAAAAGGAACATAGTATATGGCTTATGTGGTAGGCACTTTAACTTCAACTTGCCATGTCTGAAGAACAGTGTATGCTCAAAGAAGTTTCCCAAGATAATTCTTATGCAAACACAAACTGGTAAAAATGGATACCCTTCTTACAGGTGTAGAAGCCCAAATGATTGTGGGTTTTCGGCAAAGGTTGGACAACATGAGGTTGACAATCAGTGGATAGTACCCTATTGTCTCTTGCTGTCAAAGACATTTAATCCCCACATTAATGTTGAGTACTGCAACTCTGTGAAATCCATCAAGTATGTTTGCAAGTACATCAACAAGGGATCGGATGCAGCCATGTTTGGCTTGCAGCAGGAAAATAGCCGAGATGAGGTAACCCAGTATCAAATGGGTAGATCAGTAGTAATGACGCATTTTGGCACATGTTTGGCTTCCCACCACATGAAAGACATCTGGTTATTGTGCAACTTGCAGTACATTTTGAAAATGGTCAACATGTCTATTTCACTGAAGCAAATGCTGTTAAAGTAGTACACACACCTAATGTGTATCATTTGCCAATGATACTACAGTTATATCTTTCTTCAAGCTGTACCAAAATGATCCTTTTTCCCACACACTTTTGTACTCCCAAGTACCATCTTATTACACCTGGAAAGGCAAAAAGAAATGGGCGTGTAGATTGATATGTTAAGATGTACCAGAGCATGCTGGCATTAAGTTTGATGAGTGCCTAGGTACGGTGTACATTGTACATCCCAGCCAACATGAATGCTTTTATCTTTGTCTCCTTCTTCACAAAGTTTGAGGCCCAACATCTTTCCAGGATCTTAAAAATGTAAACAGATTGGTTCATACAACCTACCATGAAGCATGCTTGAGTCAAGATTTGCTTGAAGATGATACCCAGTGGGACAAAACAATGACTGAGGCTATTATGTCACAATCCCCCTGGGAATCTTAGTTTGCTTTTTGCAGTCCTATTGCAAACATGTAAAGTAAGTGATCCTGTCTCCATCTGACATAAGTATAGGGATAGCTTATCTGAAGACTTTAAGCACCAAGCCCAACTCCAATTTCCAGGTATGGAAATACATTTTAGTGATAAAATTTATAACAGGGTGCTAATTGTTATAGAAAACAATGCCATTTCTATGCAAGGGAATGTGTTACTGACATATGAGTTGCCCAAAATTCATTGGACTGGGACCAATACCTTACCCCCAGAGGTGTTGAGAGAAACATCGTATGACGTCAAATCTCTGCGTGCATATGTTGATGAAAATGAGTAATGGTTGATTCTGGACTAAAGCAGAGCTTATGACATTGTTGTTGCCAGTGTTTGCTTCTCCAAAGGTGGAATATTCCTAGATGTTCCTAGAGGGACAGGAGAGACACTTATTACTAAACTGCTTTTGGCCAAAGTTTAATAACACAAGGACATAGCTTTGGCAGTGGCCTCATCTGGTATTGCTGCAACTTTGCTGCCTGGTGGCTGAACTACACGTTCAATTTTTAAGCTTCCATTGGACTTGACTTCATCTGATAATCCAATTTGCAGTATCAGCAAAAACCTCTGAATTAACACAAGTGCTAAAAAGGTGCATGTTAAATCATATGGGAGAAATGTATCATGGCACACAGGGCAGCTCTGGAATCATTGTACGGAACCCATGCTGAACATTAAGGATTGTCGGTGACCTATGAGAAGTATAACTCTCCTGTTATCTGGAGACTTTAGGCAAACACTGCCAGTCATACCAAAAAGGACCAGAGCTGATGAAATCAGAGCATGTCTCAAATCTTCTCTGTTGTGGCAACATATTCAAATGTTGACTCTGAACCCCAACATGAGAGCACAATTATTTGGAGATCAGCTGTCAGCTCAATTCTCCTGCAACATTTTGAGACTTGACAATGGCAACATGCCTTTTAGATGCCAATGGAGAGATGTCCATTAGCCCAGTCTGCAATGTTGTCGGTACTGCTGATGTGCTTAAGGCCAAGGTTTTTCCAAATGTTAACATAATTACAAAAACTACAATTGCTTATGTGACATGACAATACTGGCTCCAAAGAACAAAGCAGTTGACAGAATCAATGACCAACTGTTACAGCTCCTCTCAGAAACAACTCGTATCTACATGTCAGTGGATACCATTCAAGATCAGGGTGCCTTTAATGCTATTATGGAATCTGGACCCACCAAGATTTTGTAATGGCACCAAACTGGTGGTTAAATTGATGCTACGTGTAATTGAGGCATCGGTTCTTACTGGGAATAGAAAAGGCAAAGATGTCTTTATTCCCAAGATTCCCCTTTTATTCCATCAGAATTGGATATACATTCACTATGTTCACAGGGTTGTTGCAATATTAGAGGGCCTGTGATCAACATCAACAAAGAATAACAACAAATGATTTTAAAGACACTGGTTAGGATATAGCAAAATAAATTATGATTTCTTAAGTTCTGGCCACAGAAATAAGACTCCTACACACTGCCTGGCCACTTCACACACTGCTGGCTGTTTCCCTGACTGACTGCCCCACTGTTTTCACTGACCATTCATTTGTATGGATACTGGCTGGGGGACCCACCACCCCTATCTGATCACTTACGTTCTACCAACCAGAAAAGGAGACCACCCAGTCTGTTTTTGAGTGGTCAGTTTTTCAAAAGACTCTACTTTTAGGGCTATTTAAAATTACTAAGAAAATGTTATGGTTGCCAATTCAAAGACTGGCTGGAGACAGGATTCCTGAAAAAAAGGAAAAAGAATTTATAAAAAAAAAACTGGGCATGCCAAGTGCGGAAATGAAGTGCTTCTATTTTTAAATAATAATCTAATATGCATGTGCTAGAGTAAAAAAAATCAAAAGTTACTACACCTGATCAAAGAAATTGTCATTAAGATCCATTTTAAACAGGCCAACAGAGACAATTTTGAAATATATCAAAGTTTGATGACCATGAAATTCGATAAGATGTTCTTGTTTGTTTCTGTTTGTGTGTGTGTTTTTTTTTTCTGTTTGTGTGTATGTTGTTTTCTCTGTGTGTGTGTATGTTATGTTCGTGTGTTTGGTTTTTTTTGTTTGTTTTTTGTTTTTTTTTGCCATCTCTTACATAAAATTTTTATCCATAACAGAGTATATTCAGTAAACTAGAAAGAATTACCTGGTTAGCTGACTCAAGAGTTTTTGCATCAAAATGTTCATCAGGGCCAGATGTTTGATAAATAACAAAACAAATTTCAGTTTATTCCAACTCAAAACTACAATTGATGAAATTCTCTTCCGTTGCTAAATGTTTGCCATATTAGCATTTTCTTCTATTTTAGGAATTGTCTTTATTTTAATATTTTGTTTTATTTTAGGTACCCTTGCATTTATTTTAATATTTTTAAATCTTTTCTTTTTTTTTTTTTTTTTTTTCCAGATATAACCTTGCAATGGTTGGTGCAGCATTCAAAGTCTGGTGGGCGATTAGGGTGATGGGCAGATGATAAATTTGTCTGTCAATCCAAGCAAGGAAGAGTTATGGATGACAAAACATTGAAAGAAAAACATTCATGAATGAACAGTCACGCGTGCTCAACATTTTTTTCTTTCTTTCCATTCCATGCCCCCCGACCCCTCCCACCTCCTTATTTTTCATTTGTCTTCTTTCTTTTATGCTGCCTCCTCCTCCTCCTAAGCAATCTTTCTTTTTTTCTTCCCTTTTTTTTTAAGTATGAATTTTCTTTTTTAACCCAGAACAAAGTTGATTTTGTTGATTATAATGAGTCTTTTTACTCCACTGTCAAAAAAAAAAAAAACAAAAGAAAAACAATGTCCATTTTTATCCATTGCAATAGTTCCCCACCCCCAACTCTTCTGTCCCTGGTAAAAAAAAAAAAAAAAAAAATGACTCCACTCCAAACACCGCAACAGAACATTGGCTTTCCCTTCTATAAACACCAAAATTTCTCTTCCAGTCCAAACTAACAAGTCCCACTCTTTCACCCACAAATACAAAATATTGTGCTTCAAACACCAAAGCTGACACTGCAAAATAGCTACTTTCTTTCTTTCTTTTTTTTCTTTCCTGTAAGTTTAAAGGAAAAAAGAAAATGCCTTTTCAAGTCTGCTTCACTTTATCAGACCACATACCCTCTTTGTCCAACAATTCCATTTCCTCTCCAACCTGTCTTGTCTTTCTGTGACTGCTTTAACAACTTTTATGTCACATTTAATTCTAGCACTACTATAGCTACTACTACTATTAATAATAATAATAATATTAATAAATTAGATGAACTGACTTTTTTGCCTGCAGCAGGTTTCGAGAGAGGAAAAAAAAAAAAAAAGAAAGGATTTTGCTGGAATTGCAATCTGAATGCAGCAGACTGCACGTGTGAATGGGGGACCTTTTTTTTTCTTTTTTCTTTGTCTTTCTCTTTGTTTATTATTGTAAGACATTTCACGCGGGGGTTCCTTCTTGAAGGGAAAAATCTGAAAAAATGATTCATTACTCGGTAAAGAGTAATTTGTTATATATTAAAATAAATCCAGAAAAAAAATGGCAGTAATGAAACCTGGCAAATGACAAGGAAAAATGCGAGGATTTTTTCCTCATTTGCTTTTCTTTAAACAAAAATGCTACGAGTTGAAAATGAATTTATTTATGTCAAATAGATTCCACTAAATTTTATTCATTTTTTTTTTTTTTTTTTTTTTTTTTATATACATAAATTTCAATTCTTTTTATTGTAAAATTAATGTATTTTATTTGAAGAATAACCGTTTATTTGGTTGTTATAAATACTGTTTATTTTTCTCTTCTAGAAAATTATTTTTCAAAATAAATAATCTTTAACATGTGTGATCGTCCAACTTGACTAAGTTTTTAGCCTTCGTTGGAACCTTTTACTGATTCTATCATTGCCTCTACATTAAATTTTTTTTTTTTTTTTTTTTTTTTTTTTTTTTTCAATTTTGAGCACTTGTGAATTCTTGTATTCAAAGAAAAGGAAAAAAATATAAAATAAACAAAGACTAAAATGATCAAATTGGTTGTTCATTAAAGACATTCAACACTCGACTGTCAAGGAAATGAGGAAAAAATCCAGGGGAGAGAACTCAATGCATCTACAAAATGTGGCCGTCTATGAAGAAATTAGATTAAAAAGGAAAAAAAATTGAAAGAGAATTACAAATTTTGATTTAATGTCCAAATTGTATTATTAAATATTACTTCTAAAGTAGTGCCTCCGGTTTTTTTTTTTTTTTTTATATTTATTTATTAGGTCACTGTGTGACCTTTTTAAATTTAATTTAACAGACATTTCAGGGTGTCTGAAATTATGAATGCATCTTTCAACCTTTTTTTTTTTTTTTTTTTTTTTCCCCTTATCCTTTCTGGATTATGATTTCCTCCCTTTTTGCAACCTAACAACTCCAGAGTTGGAAATGAATTACTTGCAACTTGCTGTAATATTTCAGCATTAACTTTCCCCTTCTTTTTGAATATCTGAAATTTGTTAATGTTTGATTTCTAGAAATTTAATTCTATTTTACTTGACAGATTCAAATGGTTTTTGATGACAGATCAGCTGTGTCTATTTCAAGTGAGATAACCAATTATTTTGACAATAGTAGTTCTTCATTTAACCCTGGATAAGTTAATTCTGGCAAACTGTCCAATATGGAATCCTCAAGAGAATTAACAAAATTAAATCAAAGTAAAAATTGGGTGAAAAATTGTTTTGATGGTTACGTATCTGGTAAGAAAGTTTTTGTATATGTAAACTATTAGATGAATAGAAATGAATGAAATATTGCACCCAAAAAAGCCCATCTGATGTTGAAGAACACCTGCCTACAAGTGATGATTTGTCAAAGCAATTTTCCAATATTTTTTTTTTCTCTCTTTCAGAGCAACTCCACTGCTATTGAAACCCCCCACCTCCCACAAGTAGCTATCTAGACATTTGTATAATTAATACATTACATTTTTGTGCACACATGTTTTCATGACTGTATACCAACTTTTGCACCACACACACACGCTGTATATACATACAGCTGTTTTTATGTTGATGTTAGTTTCTTTCTCCCACCTTTCTTCTTATGCAGGGTGAGGGAGTGAAACATTTGATAGTTTCCAAAAATATGCAAATGGCATCCAAACTCTGTTAATTTGGTATCAAAAAATTTTCTAAACTCCATTAAGAGAAAAATACAAAATTTAGTATAGAATAGCAAATTTCAATTTATATCAGATTATTTCACAGTGGTGGGGGTGCCATCTTGTTGCCTCTCCCATACCCAATATAAACAAATCGAAGGAAAGCAAACCAAATTTCATTTAGAAACTAAAATCAAAGTATTTTCTACTTGAAAGAAATCTTATTATATTTGAAAAAATTTTTTTTTTCCTTTCTCCTCTGGGATATTTGCTGAAGGATTTTTTTTTTTTTTTTTTTTTTTTTTCCTTCCTTAAAAATATATATAACACATGTTGCAATTGCTTTGTTAAGCAGTGGTGGACTGGCCAGGGTGTTAGCTTGGCAAGTGGTTTCTTCCCCCCTTCCACATGCAATAAAGAAACTAACACAGAAAACTGTTTTAGTAATAAGGAAAAGACACAAATAATCAGTGCATAAAGAGGAACAAAAGAGGGAAGGATCAAAATAGGATAAGGCCCAGGTTGAGCAGAATTTAGGATAATTCTGTTTTCAGCAAGTGTTTGAATTTAACAATAAAGTTACAATTTGTGATTTCAGATGGTCAGCAACTTCAAAGGATACCAAGCAATAGTCTTGATTCAGCCAGTACATCAGTTCAGAGAATCAAAAAAGGAATCTTTGAAGGACCCTTAAAAATGATAAATAAATCTCTAACTTCTTTCCCAAGTTTGTTTTCTAACTTTAAAAAAAAAAAAATTTTTTTTTTTTTTTTTTTTTTTCAAAAGAGCAATATCAAATAAAAATGCAATAAACAAACAAATGATCACTCAGCACACAAAGGAACAAAGCTGTGATTAAACAGATGCGAAGGAGGAGGAGATAAAGGCTGGTTTACCCAGGTCAGGCATCATTTAAAATGCATGTTTTCAACAAAAGTGTGAATTTAAAGTTACAGTTGGTGATTTGAGATTGTTGGCAACTTGAAAATAAAATTTGCTAATTTGATAGATTTGGTAATAACTGAAAACAACAAAATGTGTGTCTGCAGTTGTTTTTTTTTTTTTTTTTTCAATTTGCTCCAAACTTTTAGCAACTTTTTCTAAAAAGCTTCTATCAAGAGAATGGCTGCATGGGTAAAAGTTGTTGGTAAACATGAAGGATAAGAAAAAAAACTGAAACTATTAAAACTGGTGAGATTTAACACATTGGCCCCAAAGTCTCATTTCCCTTCTTGTTTTGACAACACTGTTTATTTTAAATCCTGTTATAGCAAAATGAGAAAAAACTGTGTGTAAAAGAAGCTGATAGAAATAAATCCCAAAAAATAAATTGTGTCAAATATGAACGTAATCCTTCCGTTTGACTTGCGTGTTAGAGATTAGACATAAAATAAGAATCAATTCAACTTTTCCTGGTCATGTAGTAATGTGTGCTTTTTTTATTTTTTTCAAGAAATCAAACACTAAGGATGATTTTGTTTTTTATTTTATTTATTTATTAGGAATGTGATTTCCATTCGAATTCTTTTTTTTTTTTTGTTTTTTTTTTTTTACTCGTTCTAGGCATTATTTTGGTTTCCTAAGTAAATAAAGCTTAAAGCTCGGTGTATGTAAAAATAAAAAATCCCAGAAGAAAAAACAAACGTTAGAAATTTCAAAAGGAAAATGAAATAAGACAAAAATATTTAAATTTAAAAAAAGGAAAAAGAAAAAAAATACAAGTGGTTCTGGTGTACAATGATCTCATAGGTAATTAATCATATCATCTCACATTCAATAATCATCATAGAAAAGAAATTGGAAAACAACCCACCTGATGGTCATGTGCACCTTGCAGACATGCCACCATGACATTTGTGTGAAAGCTAACATGTTAATTAGTTGGTAAGACCAACTATTGTTGCTGCATTACATTTTTTTTTTACCATTAGGTCAAAAAAAATGTAATGCAGCAACAATATTTGGACGTTTTGATGCTGCCAGTAATTTTATAAATCTAGTGACATGTTTATCAATGATACAAGATTCAGAAAAGTTTGATGCAAAGCCAAAATAGGAAGCAGATGTTTTACTTCAGTCTTCTAAAGTCTGAATTCATATTGACAAAACTTACTGGTATATATTTGAAACAAGTGGTTTGCTTCCAGCAGTTTGGTAGATTCAATTGCAACAAATTTGAAGGAACTGACAAGAATATTTGATAACGTTCACAGCAAGGCTTTGAAATTTGTAAATAAATCTAATGACAAGATTTCACGAATGAAAATCAGACATTGGCAACGTCATCACCGGTCGAGAGACAGAAGAAAAGAATGGCAAGTGAGCTTATTGACAAAAGAAATTCAGCAGATTTTTGAGTATTTAACCCAAAAATTGCTTGTAATGTTCAGACACTAGAATCTCACTTTCTACAAGACCAATTGTTGTATGAAGATTTGTCCTGCTTGGACCCAGCAAAGTTTTAAAACTATTGCCAAAAAGGCCTTGGAAGGTATTAAGTGGTTTCCACAAATCAGCAAAACTCAAATAATATTGGAATTGTTTTGTTTTACTTCAAACTTT